AACAGGCTGTCCAGGGAGGTGGTGGAGTCACCATCCCTGGAGGTGTTCAAAAAGCATGTAGATGTGGCACTTTTGGACATGGTTTAGTAGGCATGGTGGTTTTGGGTGGACAGTTGGACTTGATGATCTTAGAGGTCTTTTCCAACCTATGATCCTATGATTCTATCTGCAATATTGCGGTTCTGGCCCCAGCATTAGTGGGACAGTCACCTCCCCAGGCTGTGTGCTCCAAGTGTTGAGAAACCCAGGTGTGGGTATTTCTGGGCTTACTCTGCTGTTCTCAGGGGAATGTGGATGGATGGTGGTTCTTTATTTTCTTTTGTCCTCCAGTTACTTGGAGCATCTGGGATTCCAGTTCGTGTATATTTTAAAGCCTTTGTTTCTTTATCCTTCATGCTGCACTGTGACATTCAGTGTGCTTCAAATGAATGAAAAGCCTCCTTTAAAGCTAGTCACAATTCAATGCCTGTCTTTATTTGGGAACACATTTGGGTTTTTTTAAGAGATTAATGGCCAGAGGGTCACAACAGAGAGCAATGCATGTGACCGAATATTAACTTTTATTAGAATGCATTGAGCTCAGGAGCTGATTAGAGCCTTCATGAAGCAAGAGCAACACTAATGCTGGAAGGACTCCTAAAATCTTTCATAAGCTGCATTTAATGAAAAGAAAATTAAATACGCAAGAGCCAATGCATGAGTTGTACATTTGTGCATCCCACTCAATGAATGAATCATTTCCCTGCCTTCTCCTCTGACACAGAAATACCCATTAAAGACACTTAAATATTTATTTAAATATATCACCACAAGCCACCCAGGACACGGCCATTGCAGGCCAGAGCTGTTCTGGTGTAGCTATAGCCCTTCTGCAATGATTTGAGTAGAGGATGACATCCAGACCGTAGGCTGTCCATAAGAGGACATAATTGCTTGTATCACTGCGAAGGCAAGCGCCATCCAAACGGTTATGAAATTCACAAATTAGAATTTTTTTGTATTTCCATACTCCCCCATAACACAGATATGGCATGTGTTCATCTGGGGCAAAGCTTGACTGATGGAGCTCTACCAACAGTAACACTTCATCACGGGAACAGCACGTGTCCTTCTCACACAGGTACAGGCCCAGCTGTTACCAATTGCCCCAGTCCTGTTACTGGTGGAGAGCCACAGGGATGAGTGTGAATGGGTCGAATGGCAGCCGGATCCGGTGTCAGACTGGGATGCAGTACAGGACCAGCCATCCCCCTCCCCTGACACAGAGCATGGAGCCTGCTCCTCCCAATCCCATCCCCACAAAGCAGAGCAGCCCTGCAGGCACACACGCCTCGTGCCTCAGTGTGCTGGGGACCTGTCAGCCTTGCTCATGTCCCTTCGAAGGGCTGGAGACACTGGTTAAATCAGCAGCTTTCCCACTGGATTAACACAGAGCTTCGCAGCACTGCCAGCACTGTGCCCGTGCCTGTCAGGATCCATCAGCCAGCCAAGCCTTAACAGCGAATGGAGTAACGGAGTGAAAAAAATAAAATTACCCCTTTCTGAAGCAGCCAGAAACACTCTTAGCTAATACTGAAGACAGCTTATGACTTCACAGAAAGGAGGCTACCTGACTTCTGGGCACCGAACGCAAGGGGAAGCGCCCGGGCTGCAGTGGATGCTCCGTAGCTGAACGGGCAGAGATATCCCCATCCCAGCTGTGAAGCACTGAATGGGGTTCAGGAGCACGGAAACGACTGGGATGGACTGGGAGTGCTGAGGGGGAAGAAGGATGGGAAGAGGGTTTTGCGGAAAGTGACAGTGCTGTGGCTGTTTTCTTCGCTGCTGCCCCCTCAGAATGTTGTTGTCAACTGAAGGGCTTATGAATCAGGGAGCAAAGAGAAGATTGCTCAGGTTTTGTGCCTTCAGGGAATTTTTTTTTTAATGGATTTTTAAATGTGTGCTGATCTAAGGTCAAAGTAACTCAGGACAAATGATTTCTGTCACCTTCGCATCAGGACCAGCACGACACACTCCGACAGACCCCGCAAGTCGGTCAGATCCTGACACAATCCTCCTGTGTGTCCTCACACAGCACGAGCAGACCCTCTGAGAGCTGCGCGCCTGTCCTCACAACACACGTGTGCAGCAGTGTGACCCCTCCAGGCATCGGGACTCAGCGTGGTGGCCCTGGATGGGGCAGAGTGGGCACATGTCAGACCACAGCCGCACCAGCGAGCAGGTTCCCGGGTCTGCTTGTCGCCACCGCTTCTGGCCCATCACCCCCATGTCCTCCTTACAAATCTCTGCAGAATGAAAAAGCAAATTCATAGCACATAAATCAAGCTTAGAAAGGTTGCAAGTCCATTCCCTCTTGAACTCATCCAAGTGATGGAAATAAAGGACTTAGAGCCAAAAGCTGGTGTTTAACAATTTATTCCATGGGTCTGTGAGTGGGAAGGAGGGTGATGCCCGGTCTCAGCAGGCCATTGCTGGTAGGATGAAAGCTCAGCTAGAAGTAGTTGATGACTCTTCTGATGGACTGGACAGTTGCGCTGCGCGCCTGCCACGCATTGAAGCTGCTGAACTCACCCCGCTCCACCACGTACATACGGCCTCGGTAGTTGGGCTCCTCGTACAGCACCCACCTGAGCAGAAAGGGAGGGTCACCTGGGTCCCAACAACATGTTCATGTGAGGTGGCCTGATGCTCACATTGAGCGGCTACATTTAGGCATCGCAGTGCTGCAAAGTACCAGGGCCTGATGGTCCCTCTGCACTCCTGGTCCCATCCTGCACATAGAATCGTAGAATCATAGAATCATAGAATCATAGAATCATAGAAAGTTTTGGGTCGGAAGGAACCCCTAGAGGTCATCTAGTCCAACCCCCCCCGCAGCGAGCAGGGACACCACTAACTAGATCAGGTTGCTCAGAGCCCAGTCCAACCTGGTCTTGAATGTTTCCAGGGATGGGGCCTCCATTACCTCTCTGGGCAACCCGTTCCAGTGTTTCACCACCCTCATTGTAAAGAATTTCTTCCTTATATCCAGCCTAAACCTACCCTGTTTTAGTTTAAAACCATTACCCCTCGTCCTGTCACTGCTGTCTCTACTAAAAAGATTGTCCCCATCTTTCCTATAGGCTCCCTTTAAGTACTGAAAGGCTGCAATCAGGGACTCCCCGCTTCACATTGCTGTAGGAATGGATCTCTATGAGCTTCACCATGTGCAACAGAAACAATTTAATAGCATCTGATAGTGCTAAAGAAGGATGTGAGTCCCCTCAGCCCCTGCATAAACCCGTTTTGGACTGTAAGGAGGAATGTGCAACACTTGAAGTATGTTTTTTCTCTTTGAACTGACTCCTTAGCTATGATGGGAACCACATTTAATAATTTCTCTCTTTGCTAGCAATCCTCCATGCCCTCTGTTTGATGCTTTCCAACAGACAGCAAGACTTGTCTCGGTTATCTTCACTTTATCTCTACGTCCAGAGTTAACTACAACTTCCCCTTGGAATACAGTCAAATAGATACAACACTCAACAACCTTGGTGACTTTGGCACACCTGACTTCTTCACCTAGCTTGGCTACATCTTTCTCCACTGGCATATCTATGTGCATGCCTTTCTCCATTTGAAGGTCCTGAAGTCATGAGCAATTCTGGTGGTCAACGGGGAGAAATGTTGCTGCTCTTCTCTTCATCTCTTTAGCACACACTGTGCCATGATCTTAATGTGGCTACAAGTGTCACCTCTTTCCTTTATTTAATTCTCCCATGCTTTTTAAACAAGTTTTGCCATTGCTCTGATAGTTTTACAGTCAGGTTTCCACCGGATCATTGCTGAACTGCTCATCTCTGCCACATTCTTCTCTTCTAAAAATTTGTAAGGATTTTTTAAGGATCTCTCTATTGGCTCAGCAATGACAGCAGAGCACAAATGCAACCCTCCAAATCATTTGGTTTCTGTGGTCTGTCTCTTGCGAGGAATTCAGCTGTGACATCAGGGTTGGGACCTACTCTATGTGAGATTTCCAAGGAGAAACTCCTTTAGACACTGGATGGGTCAAAGACTGCTGGGCCTCCAGGGTCAGACAACAGCTGGTGAACTCAGATCAGTCTGACACAGAGCAAAACGCTGGAGGCTTTGGCAAAAAGTTGCTTATAAAACCAGCCACTCAGGGGCATTATTAAAATAAGCGCAAAAGGTTATTTAGTTGAGCCACCTTACAGATTCCTTGGCATATTTGGATTTATTTTGTGTTTTTGAGAGGACACGGGGTGGGACTGTGGTGGGTCCCTTCTCTGCAGCATGGCTGCAACATGCTCGGCTGAGACATTTGGATCCCAAGCATTCCCTGCAAACAAAAAAGTTCATTCTTTGGCACTTTTTGCAGCCAGTTTATATAAGAACAGAATTACAAAGTCATCCTCAGACTTTTCCCTTGAAGCTCACTTTGCAGCGTGTGGAGAAGGCTGCCCGCTGCTCATGGGAGTGCAATGGCAGGCTGCCCTGAAGCCGGGTCCACACCATCACATATCCTGATGTGCGCCGTCAGAGAGCATGCTCAGCTCTTCAGCTTAATTAAGAACAATTTATAAAATTACCCTCCTCCTCTATGTACGCCCCAGCCATGTTTATAAGGCTTTCCTTCTTTTCTACCCCATCCATTCAGCTTATATGCATCTCTCCATATTTTTGGATGATCCTGAGCCTCTTTCTCCAGCAGCTCACCACCCCCCCCTTCAAGCACTCCTGAAAAGAGCTCCCAATCCCATTTTCTGCACTTTCCAGTCACTCCCTCCTGCTGCAAATACATAACGTTTTTGAAAAGACTGGATGGTGGTAGGACAGGGATGTTCACAGGGCGTTGCTGGCCCACCAGGACATGGTGGTTCTTCCAGCTTTGCTCTGCTGTAGGGCATCTTTCAACAACTGCTGGACCCTGGGAAACAATGCAGTGGGTTAGAGCAGCCTCTCACAGTCACTGTCTTTCCCAAGACCTCTGTGATTCTCTCCAAGCACATGGTTGATGTGTGGAGGGAATGCAGCAGGCCTTGGGGTAGATGGAAGCAGACTGTGTGACCTGGTGTCGTGATAAGAACCTGCCAGTTTGTCCTTCTGCTTAGG